CCAGGCTGGCCTTGAACTCACAGAGAGCCACCTGCCTCTGCCTCCTGAGTGCTGGGATTAAAGGCATGCACCACCACTTTTCTTAATTCCTTATTCTCTCTGTTCTTCCATGAATATAATTTCTGTCATCAAGTTCTCTTATTTCTGGGTTTATGTCTGCTGTTGAGTTCCACAGTAAACATATTTTGCTATTTCTGTATTTCTGTGCTTCTGAATTTTGATTTGCTTATTTTAATACTTGTCTATGTTTGAGTTTCATGGCTTTCCTGAGCTAGGACGTCTCTACAGTTGAAGTAGAGCAGGACAGTTTGGGCCTGCTTGCAGCTAGGCAGAATCAAGCTTAAGAGTAATAACAAGTAAAATGAGGTATTTTATACAAAGTGCAAAATTATACATTATCTTGGTAAGCACAGTGAAAGCAAAAAGCTGACTAGGTGGTACCAACTGAGTGCTTGGCCTTTTCCAGTTGTTCCAATAGGCTATTCAAATCCCAAGCATCCAGTGCCAGGCCTGGTCATTTTCTTGTGTCTAGGGTTTCAGCAAGGGTTATTTCCTGTTCAGTCAAACCCATATGAGGTCCAGGGGAAACAGCGATCCACTTGCTTACATTCTTTTTTATATGTATAATTTATTTCTTTTAAATTTTATTTTACATTTCAACCAGTTCTCCCTCCCCTACCTCCTCCCCAGCCCATCCCCAGTCCACTGCTCCTCATGGGTAAGTGCTCTCATGAGGAGTCAATAAAGTCTGACACAATAGGTTGGGCAGGGCCAAGTCCCTCTCCCATGCACTAAGGCTGAGCATGGCATACCATGGGCTCCAACAAGCTAGCTCATATACCAGGTTTGTATCATGGTCCCACTGGCAAGGTCCCCTCTGATAGTCCAAGCTTCACAGCTATCTCCCTAAAAAGAGGGCCTAGTTTGTTCCCATGAAGGCTCTACAGCTGTCAATCCAGAGTTCATGAGCTTGGTCCATGAGCTTGGTTCAGCTGTCTCTGTAGATTTCTCCATCATGATCTTGACCTCCCTTGCTCATGTATTCCCTTTTCCCTCTCTTCGACTGGATTCCCAGAGCTAGGCCTGGTCCTTGGTTGTGGGTCTCTGCATCTGGTCCTGTCAATTACTGGATGAAGACTCTATGATGATAGTTGGGGTAGTCACCAATCTGATCACAGGGAAGCCCACTTATATTGTTAGGTACACACATGAGCACATCCATGTTTGGCCGTGCTGTTGACTTTCCAGTTCTTTACTCCTTTCTGTGATAGGCTTACTTCCTACAAAGCAACTGCTGTTCAGCTGTTAGTTCAGAATATTTGCTGATGCTGGATCAGATCTGTATCTCAATAAGCATTAATTCTAGTTTCTCCTCAACAACAACAACAACAAAAAAAAAACTTTCCTTGAACTTGAAATGTTTTCAAATAATGTGAAGACATAATTCATATTCCTACTACATGTGATTATTTGCAGACCTCTCACTGTAATTCTGGGGTCCTTCTCTTCACAGCTAAATCTGTATAAAACCCTGCTGACTGTTGCAGCCATCTCTGTCACTTGTTCAGTCTCATGTCAGCTCTGTCATCTGCCTCTGGTGTCCACTAAAACTGTTTTGGCTGAGGTTTCTGGTGACCCATTTAAAGTAGACTCTGCAACTATCTTATTTACCAAGCAGTACAGAACACAGACTCTTGAGTTTTAATTGTTTGATATCTTTTAGAGGATTTGTTTTCATTTTGAAGCAATCTGAAGCTTGTGGGGAAAGTTAGAAGTACAACACAGAGATGTTTTTCTTGAACTATTTGGGTGTGAGTTGCAGACACGATTCTCTATCGGTCTCACAAAGACCTGCTTCATACTCCCCACATCAGCAAATTAGACTGAACCATCATGGCCTTTCTTCTGTTTCTCAATGTCACTCCAGCTTTGCAGATTGCCCTACGAGTGTTGCTGACAGTCAAAGGGCCAAGTTCTGGGTCCTGATTCTTCCACGTGCTACACAGTAGGACATGCTCCTTAACTTTGATGACCTCAGTATTTCTGACGAAGACAGGCAAGTCATGTTGTTACCGAATTCTCTCAATTTGGCTATCCTATTTCATTAGGATTACAGCCAAGAAACCGTACTACTTATTGCTATAAAAGTTGAATTTAGCTGGTCGTTGGTGGTGCATGCCTTTAATTCTAGCACTCAGGAGGCAGAGGCAAGCAGATATCTTTAAGTTCCAGGCCAACCTGTCTACAGAGCAAGTTCCAGGACAGGTTCCAAAACAATACAGCGAAACCCTGTCTTGGAAAAAATGAACTCATAAACCAATATCTGCTTGTTGTGTGTATTTGTTTCTATCCTATTATTTCCCACAAGGACTTCTTGATTGTCAGAGTTGAAGAATGCTTGTTCATATATGGATAACCATACCTACCATGTATCAACACTTGTGCTTATATTTGTGTGGGTGTATATACATATGTATACACACACACACCTACACACACACACATATAAAATCCTGGTTCTATCCATTTCGACCCAGGCTCACAGGACCCCTGAATCCTGAGTGAAGTTGTTGAACATGTTTCCTCTTTCTGCTTATTTATACTTGGTTTTTAAACATGTTAAGACTCAACTAAATAAAACTTTGCACTTTGAACATTAATTTAACTCATGAGTTATATCTCCCCCAAAAGTTTACTAAAGCAAAAATGTCAGAATAAAGGTATTGGTCTTCAAAATTTTAGTATCTTATTTTTAAAATAAAAACTGTTGATATTATTCTAAATGTCTCTAATCTCTAAGGGATTAGAGAAATTATTGTGGTGTATTAGCTAAATCATAGTCGTTGTGCTTTATTAAATACAAATTTAAGACTGAAGCAAAAGGAAGATGTATCTTATTATGATTGGAGAAAGCAAGAAAAATGTATGTGCACTGAAGGTATAAATACAAGAAAGGCTGGGTGTGGTGGTCTGTACCCTAATTCCAGTACAAGTACACAGGAGACAAAGACAGAGGAATCCCTATGGGTTATAGTCCAGCCTGTTCTACATAGTAAGTTCTAGGCCAGCAAGGACCATACACAGTCTCTAAGTAAGTAAATAAATAAACCAGGAAAACCCATAAATACATGAGCGTATTGGAGAAGGAAACCAAACTAGTATGTTGGATGGAAACTAAAGGTTGGGTGCAGTTGTAAAGCTCTCTGTGATGTAAATAAAATTTACTTTCTTACTTAAAATTCTTTGCATGTTTGGGTATTTTGCCTGCATGTATGACTTTGCACTACATGGCTGCCTGGTCCCATGGAGGGCGGGGCTACATGTGCCTGTCCAATCCATGTTTGCAGCAGGCTACACTTTCGTAGGCTCGACACAGGGTTATGCGAACATGTCCAGTCAGCTCAGTTGCGTACTGTTTTTATGTTGGAAGTTAGCCCTGTTCTAAGATTTTACAGCAGAAATTATTTTTGAGGTGGTACTTGAACCATTCCTTCTTTAGTTTAGTCTGACTAACCCCCCGCATGCTCCTCATCAAAATACTTTGGATTTTTAGTACAATAGGGGACAGAGCCACTTTTGAGTTCCCTCTGTAGACATCCTTCAGTGCATCCTTCTGTTTTCTGGAATCACTCACTGACTGGCACCTCCTCCCTGTTGCCTTAAATATTTGAGTCTGCCACCTGTGCAGGATGCTATGGGAACCAGCTGAGAGCTCTGCTGGCCACTGCACTGGTGCCACAGCAGCCCTCCCCTTGCCACCCCCCCCCCCACACACACAACTACTGTGTTTATCAGGCCGCAGTGGGCTTCCCGCATTTGCCCCCTTCACACTCTGCCTGTGCTGCCCACTCAGACGTCTTCTCAGAATCTGTCACCAGAGTAGCAAACACATAGCACTTAGGGCCGCCTGCCTTCAGGTCACTCCTTGCTCTCTGGCAGTATCTTCTATTTTTCTTCTCATATAAACCCTGTGGAGCTGCCCTGTTTCATTTTAAGGACCAAGTGGGCCTTGCCTAGACTATTTCTCAGGTCACACTTTTAGGCAGAGTAGCTGCTTGTTAAATTGCTCTGTGTGTGTGTGTGTGTGTGTGTGTGTGTGTGTGTGTGTGTGTGTGTGTGTGTAGGTGGGGGGAACCTTTTCCATTTCTGTATGATACTACAGATAAAGTAGCAATTGGAACGTCAAATTAGACTTCTGTGTCTCCGTCTTATTTCACAGAAGTACATGATGCCAGGGATGTGAGGGTGGCAATTTAACAGCATAGATCAGAGCTTGGTATGTAGCAGTAGTTAGGTTTCCATCCTCACGCCACTGAAATACCATTTGTGCAGAGAGTGCAGGAGAAAAGGCATGGGCACGGCCTGACATTAGCGAGGGAGGAGGCGGACAATAAGTGCTTTGCAGTTGTTGAGTTTCTGTTTTCTTTATATCCTTTATTCTCAAACTGCCACCTCCCCCTCATCCAGTTCCTTTAAAAATGTGATACTTTAGAGAATTTTATTCAAATGCCTCCGCTGAGACTTAGAAGCTGTTTTTCTCCCATAGCAACGGAAGGCAGAGAATTACAGTTCTGAACTTTGGAAAGGCATGGCTGCTCTTAGTTACTCTCGCTAAGTTCTTTCTAGCAGCGTATAACCAAGAATCGGGTTTTCATTTCAGAAAGTAAAAATATGAAAATGTCTTCCTCGCTCTAAAATGTCTTTATTTTTTCCATTCAAGTGTTTCTTTAGTAGTCCAATCAAGCAAATGTAGGGAAAATCAGTTTTGAAAATTGAATGATCCTTTAATAATGCTGTAGGGTCTGGCATATACTGCTACATTACAATAAACTTATTTTTTTCCTGTCCTGTTTCAAAGAAAAGTAGAATTTTCTTTTAAAATACCTGGAGACCAGGTGTGAAAAGCATAAGAAAATTTCAACTTTTAATGTGTGTACAAGGCAGTGTTTTGTCATTAAAAAAAAAAAAAAAGCATTTAAAAACTCATTACAGTATTTAGGAGTCAGATCTTTTAAGTGTATGTGAGAAACAAAATAATCTAGATGTAAGAACAAACTACTTTAAATGCATATTATTCTTCCCTGTATTTGAACAATTTGTCCAAAACACAATCCATTCATGTAGGATTTTTGCCTGTTCACATCTAAGTGGGAATCAGTAGTTTCTTTGTTGGTCACTATGGAAACAAGTCAGCCTATCCTGAAAAGCTCTTAGATCATACAGAGCGATGCCAGTGTCTCAGTGTAGCTCCTCACTGAGCAAGCCAGAGCTGGCTTCTGCCTGCCTCCAACTCTTGCGTGCCTGGAGCCAGTGTCATGCAGGTGCAGGACCCATCCCGGAGGCCTTCGGCTGTGCACCTCCTCAGTGCCTTTCTGCAGGGCCGCAGGCACTCCACCTCTGACCCAGTCCTGAGGCTGCAGCAAGCCCGCCGTGGCTCTGGCTCTGCCACCAAGCTGCTGTCCTCATCGTCTCTCCAGGTGATGGTGGCTGTGTCTTCTGTCAACCGTACAGAGGGGAATTCAACTTTTCCCGAGAGAAAAAGTAAAAACTCTTTCTTATAATCTGCTACCCTTTGTTTGTATCTAAGTGTAAGGAGTGGGAATTAGGCTGTAGTTTTGTCTGTACTTTTAGAATGCTGACAGTTAATTCTATTTATGCTTTTTACTCTGCTAATGCTAAGACTGAGTGGATATGCAAGAGGAGATAAAATGCTAGAATAATTTGTGGTGTTTTTGTTGTTGTTAAAAGTATAGCTCTGGACAAAATTCACCCCCTTGAAAAAGATGAGTGCTCTCATTTTCTTCTCATTACCACTATGATATGTAGAAATGATTGCATGTGAAAGCCTTTTTAATATTAGATGAAGGGATGTACACTGACTCACATCTACAATCCTGAGGTAAAATGAAACTGTTCCCCATGTTACCCTTCTATCTTGAACCTTACTTTCCTTGTATATTCTAGAAAATTCCGAACGCCCAACACCAAAGTACACAAAGGTGGGAGAACGTTTACGGCATGTCATCCCTGGACACATGGCATGTTCCATGGCATGTGGTGGGAGAGCATGTAAGTATGAGAACCCAGCCCGCTGGAGTGAGCAAGAGCAAGCCATTAAGGGAGTTTACTCATCCTGGTAAGTATGGCTCTGGGTCTCGCACAGTCCTGCAGAAAGAAGGAAGCAGGAATGCTTGTGAGCCAACAGGCAGGCAATATGAAGGGGCCCTTGCAACCACCCCTGGGTTTGCAAAGTAGAAATAATTATGCTCAAAGCCTTTGCATTCAGTGAAATGATATGCATGGAGTACCTTAAGTTAATGAGTAATTAATTAGATAGTTTTTAAATTCCAGAAATTGATGAAAATAGTAAAAATGTTCAGCTGTACATTTGAGAAAATTACATGGTCTTCGGATTTGTGCCATTCAACATTCACATCATTTGTCTGTTATGAAATACACTCTAGTATTCCGTGACAGAAGGGGCACAGACTGCCAGTTCAGCAGGCAACCCATAAGATGCTGGCATTGGGTCTTGTGTTTAAGCACAATTAATTCTACTCTTAAGTCATACTGCCCTTATTAGTAACAATGAGCTAGTCAGGTTTGTATTTGTGGTCTTGAAAATACTGATAATCAAATTATAATTGAGCTGGGGATAATGGTGCCTGCTTCTAGTCCCAACACACAGGAAGCAGAGGCCTGTGGATCTCTGTGAGTTCAAGGTTAGCCTGGTTTACATAGTTCCAGGATAGTCAGGGCTACACAGCAAGACCTTGTCTCAAAGTCAGAACAACAAAATCATATTTGGAACACACAATTTACTGTTTAAAAGAGTTGTACTGCTGAATTATTTTATACAGCAAGAACCCATTTACAATCAGATGTTTGCTGACCATTTATTTGACTTGCTGCCTCTACTTTTTGTGGTGGCACAGCCTGAGGTCCATTGTTGTTAGTGTTCCTGAATCATATTCGAGCCTAAGGACACTTAAGGTATGAGGAAGTAAACACTCCTGAGTGAGAGTCCCACAAGCAAATGTCCAATGTAGCATGGCTCACATGAGGCTCTCCTTGACTGTCAGCTATCCATGCAAGCCCTTCCCATCCCTGCTGCCCTCAAGTCAGGCTCCACCTCAAGCCTTTGGGGGTCTGTGTTAGGTTCTACACATTGCTCCTGAGGTGGGTATTGTCTTTTGGACACTGACCTACCAGTTTTTTTGCTACTCCTCTGAGATTCGTATGAGTCACAACTCACAATTGACTATCTTACCAGCTTCTACCAGCTTCCTGATGACAAATCTGAACAAAATAGTAAAACATTTGAAGTCAGGCCCAACTGACTCTGATCCTCCACCTTCTTCCCTTGCTAAATTACAGTGCCTCAGTATTTATAGCCACAGGCCAGGATTTGTGCTATATTTGTACATCCACATCATATTGAATTCTCACCTCAACCCTATGTATGTCTGGCATTATTACCTCATTCACACCTCAGGTAGTGTGTGTCCAATGTCAGCCACCTATTTGTCCTCCATTTAGTTGACTGACCACTTTGTCACATGGTAAAGTTCCCCTTTATGTTCACTAGAATCTCTTTAAAGTCCTTGGAGACATTGTGCCAGAATCCATAAATGACTGAAGTCTTGACATTTCTTCCCTAAGATTTAAGGAGCTACAAGGTTCTAATTGTGATGCAGAATTGAAGCCATATTTATGTAAGACCATAGAAATTGCTGAAATGATAGGGAAAAAGTTGCTAATCCTATCAGGTAGAATGCTCTGAGTTTTGTGCATCTCAGCAGTCCCATACCCATCTTCAGGGTCACTGACAGCATCCTGGCCATGGCTCGTCCGTCCTCTGAGCTGCTGGAGAAGTATCACATCATCGAGCAGTTCCTCGGGTGAGTACCTAGCATTCATGACTGTAGTGAACAAAGTCAACATGCTTTTCCTTAATTGATGATGGCATCAAGGGAAAAGGGTTTCACTTTAAAAAAAAAGAAAAACAGGCAGTGTACAGCTGATTATAAAGAAAAGTTTGAGAACAATTAATAATGTCTTACTAATGCTAAAATAAGTTTTTCAGGACTCCAGATCCTTCTAACAATCACTCTTTTTCTTTTAAGTCATGGCATAAAAACAATTATCAACCTGCAGCGCCCTGGTGAGCATGCCAGCTGTGGGAACTCTCTGGAACAAGAAAGTGGTTTCACATATCTTCCTGAAGCATTCATGGAGGCTGGCAGTAAGTTCTTTCCCACCCTGAATTATCAAGGACAATGCATAAAGACTTTTGTCCTCCAGCTCTCAGGTTAAAGAGATAATACTTTATCAATAGAATCCGTACAGCAGCGGGTCTTCTAATTTCACTTCCAATGATGCTACCTTTCTTGGATGTTGCTGTTGTGAATACAGAGTTTTCTTTTCCTCTAGGAGGGGTGGGGAGGAGACCCTGCAGTAAAAAGGCTTCTGTTCAGTTAGAACATATACCATGTCAGACATGACGACCTCGTTTTCCCTTTACAGCAGTTGTGAGACTCAGTTTAGGCTTAGAGAATTATCAGCTTGTCTGTGATCACATAGCTTAGAAATTCCAGTGAGGACTGGAAGTTGAATAAGTTTTGGCTCTACAAGAATATGTCCTCATGGCCAGCCCAGAGCTCATCACAGGAGCTTTGGAGTTGAGTTCACTCAGTGGGATATTCAAACCAGGTTGAGCAAGATGAGCATGTGGTCTGGGAATGCTCTTAAGAGGCTTATGTCTCGATTTTTTTTTTTTTTTTTGTCACCCTAAGTAGAAAACTCTGTATCTATATCTATATAAAACTCTGTATCTAGCCATTTATTAGCCTTTTAGAGAATTTCTATTCTTAAACAAGAATACATGTTGTTACCTCCACCTTAGTTTTTAATTCTATTCTGTCATAATTCTTTCCACCTGAACTTCAGCAGGAAATGTATTAGGTTAAAAGAATATGCTTGTAAAAAATTTTAAGCTTACTGGAAATATAAAAACCCTGTTAGATGGGTATATATATGGTGGCTCACACCTTTAATCTCAGCACTCAGGAAGAGGGGCAGGCAAATATGTGTGAGTTTAAGACCATTCTGATTTACATATCAAGCTCCAGGCAAGCCAGTGCTACACTGTGAGACCCTGTCTCAAGACATAAAAAATAAAAAAAATAAAAAGCCTATTACTGTGAGCCTGCTTATTCAGTGAAACCTCTGTGCCTTGTAACTTATTTTCTTCAATTGTCCTTGCAAGTATTTTTATGCATATTAAGTTTGCTTTTCTTTTTTCTCTTTCACTGTCTAGTTTATTTCTACAACTTTGGGTGGAAGGACTACGGTGTAGCATCTCTCACTGCCATCTTAGACATGGTGAAGGTGATGACATTTGCCTTACAGGAAGGAAAAGTAGCTGTCCACTGCCACGCAGGGCTTGGGCGAACAGGTAAATTTTAGGAAGTCATATTACTGTTGTGTGGGCATAATGAAATATATAGGAGAGAGATTCCCTAATTCTAAAGATAGCTAGCTCTTAGAGTCATAACAAAGTTTTAGAATTAAACTAAAGAAATAAAAGGTATCAGAAGCATAGTAAGCCTGTATAGTAATCATGTATTGATAAGGGTATTTCTGAATAATTTAGAGCTGAAAACTCGATGTGTTTAAGCATGTTACTAAAACCACTTAAATAATCAGCTTAATGGAGCACCTCATGTTAATACATAGTGTTTTGTAAATACTGTTTTTCTTTTTTCTTTTGTTTTTTGAGACAGGGTTTCTTTGTGTAACCTTGGCTGTCCTGGGACTTGCTTTGTAGACCAGGCTGACCTTGAACTCACAGAGATCCACCTGCCTCTGCTTCTTCGTGCTGGGATTAAAGACATGTACCACCACTACCACCAGGCAAAATATTGCTTTCCTTAAAGTTTTACTTTTATTTTATGTCTGTGAATGTTTACCTATACATCTGCTTGTGTACTACATGCATGCTCGGTGCCCAAGGAGGTCAGAAGAGGGCATCAGATTCCCCTAGGACTGGACCACAGACAGTTGTGAGCACCACGTAGCTGCTGGGAACCAAACTGGGATCCTCTGCAAGAGCAGCCATCTCTCCAGCCCCCAAAATACCTTTCTTACTGAAAGAACGACTGAGATAGCAAGTACTGTCCGTCCGCTGGAGCATTTTACATTTGCTATCCTTTGAAGTTGTTAGCAACAATAGGAGTCAAACTGCACTCTAAGAAAAATTAAGTAATCTGCTACATTTAGTGAGTGGCAGGATCAATATTACATCTATAGATGTCTGGCTCCATCTTTCTTGCCTTCTCTACTTTGGGATGTATAAGGATTGTGTACTTGAAGAAGACTATTGCATGTAAAGTTCTTTGTGAAAGGCAGTGGTTTTATATAAACACTCAGCAAACTTCGTTACATTGCTGGTGTGATAGCAAAAATGAAAGGCATGGGTCGATATCTTCAATGTCATGTGATTTAGTCAGACGAAACCACTCCAGTGTATATCCCCTGCCATGGGATTTCCTACCTGCCTAGAAACATCCTAGGCTAGTATTCAACTCATGTAGGTTTGGGCAACTCTAATTCCTGGGCGTTGCATGGTATACCTCTGCAGATATTTACCCTTACACTAAAGATCTGCAATGTCCCCCTGAGAAAGCTATGTTGTTTTCACTGCAAACTGGAGGACATGTAGTTCTCAGAGGTTCTGATTTTCATGTATAACTAGATGTTCACAAATTTAGGAATTATGTGTCTGTCTTTTACATTGAGGTGTTGGCTATTGTATTATAATTAATTATGAATTCTTACAATAAGTAACTAATGAAAAACAAGCCATTGTACTGTTGCAGTTGACATCCTTATTAGCATTTGCTTGTGTGAGTTACATCATGGTCTGTAGAAAAACAAATGTCACTGGAGACATGATTTGGAAGAATTGTCAGGCAGAGAAGTAGAATATACAGATGTAATAATCCCCAAAGCACAACCTTCCTAACCTAGGAAGGGCTCAGCAAGAGTGTCCTGGCAGTGGATGGCAGAGATGCCAGAGCAGGACGTTCCAAGGGCAGAGTGGGTGGTGAGTTGGATGGAAACATCAAGAGCTGTTTACCCCAAAATGCAGAAGCAGGAGTTGGCTTCCTTCCACGCTAGAGTTAGGCAGGAGGAGGCTAGACCAGACCCTCAACCTAGTTCTTAAGCCCTCCTCACCTCAGTACCCCTTCACCTGCCAGCTGTGCTCGCTCATCTCTGGAGTGTAAAACTGAGTCAGTCACAGGAAGGAACTGCCACAAAGACATGTAAAAGTCTTTGCAGTCATAAATGCTCAAGGGGCTGGGGGTTCAGGTGGTAGAATGCTTGCCAAGCATACAGGAAGTCTGGGGTTTGATAGCCAGAATGACATAAAACCAGCCTGGTGCTATACACTTGTCATTCTAGCACTTGGAAAGTAGAGGCCAGAGGATCAAGAGTTCAAGGTCATCCTTGCATGTATACAGGGTTCCAGGCCAACCTAGGTTATATGATACCCTGCATTTAAAAAGAAAAAGCAACAAAAAACGGGGAGGTGTCGTTACCATTCTTCAGATGTGCTTGTATTTATATGATTTATTAACAGTATTCACGTTTTAAGTCATCAAAGACGATACATAAACAAGTCTTTTCTCATATGAATCTTCTTTATGTTTAGGTGTTCTAATAGCGTGCTATTTAGTTTTTGCAACAAGAATGACTGCTGACCAAGCGATTATATTTGTGCGGGCAAAACGTCCCAATTCCATACAGACCAGAGGGCAACTGCTCTGTGTACGGGAGTTCACTCAGTTTCTGGCTCCACTCCGTAATATTTTCTCTTGCTGCGATCCCAAGGCACACGCTGTTACCTTAGCCCAGTACCTGATTCGCCAGCGTCATCTGCTTCATGGCTATGAGGCACGACTTCTGAAATACGTGCCAAAGATCATCCACCTAGTTTGCAAGCTGCTGCTTGACTTGGCTGAGAACAGGCCAGTAGTGATGAAGAGCATGCTAGAAGGACCAGGACTCTCTGCTGAAATCGAGAAGACTGTGTCTGAGATGGTCACAATGCAACTGGATCAAGAATTACTGAGGCAGAACAGTGATGCACCTGACCCGTTTGACCCCACTGCAGTGGTGGCTGAGTTTGAGAACCAGGATGGGAGTCTTTCTAATGAGCAAGACTTTGACCCCCTCTGGAAGAGAAGGAATGTAGAGAATCTTCAGCCCCTGACACATCTGAAAAGGCAGCTCAGCTACAGTGACTCAGACTTAAAGAGGGTCAAAGCTACCCTGGAGCAAGGGGAGACACCTTGGACAGTGCCTGCCCAGGACGTGCTGGGCCACAGTCTCCAGCATCAGAAACACATCAGCCAGTGTCTCATACCACAGTCTCCAGAGCTGGGCTTAGACAAGGAAGCACTGATTCACAGCACATTTCCCCTCTGGACCCAGTCCAAATGTGGAGGCTTAGAGGGACTCAAAGAGGATGGCTCTCCGCTTTTCTGTAGGAAGGACACTCCAAAGGAAGTACAGCGGAGCAGAACCTTCTCCGTGGGTATTTCCTGTTCGCACAATCCTGGAGAACCAGTGCCACCCAACTTTGCAGGTGTCCATATGAGTCCAGAGCAAGTCACCCACTGTCGCTGTGAGGCTCCTGGTAGGTGGATTCCAGGCTCTGTTCAGGAGGAGGGGAGGACTCCCTGCAGCCCTCTAAACTGTGACTCCAGTCTTAAGGCCCAGCTCCCACAAGGACAGGAAACCAAAGACAGCTCATACCTGTCGGAAGCAATGGCACAGGCTGGTTTTCAGTCTGAACTGAGTGCTGAAGCCAGGAGAGTCCTGGCAGCCAAAGCCCTTGCAAATTTAAAGGAGTTTGTGGAAAAGGAAGAAGTGAAAAGGAAGGTGGAAATGTGGCAGGTATTTGTATTTCATTTAATTAATTATATATATGTGCTTACATATTTATAGAATATATATATATACATATATACATATGTATGTATGTATATATATATATATATATATATATATATATATAGCACATACGCACATGTAGAAATGGTTTTGTCAGGCCAAAAATATGTAACAAAATTTTCTAAACGTCTCAGTTACAGAAGTGAGAAGATAGGAACTTGAGGTTTCCCAAATATGATGTGAACCTGATGTGGAAATGACCCAGGGCATTTGCGTAGTTCCAGTTAGATTTCTGTGTCCAAGAATCCACCTGGCATGATGTTAATGTTGGTAGCTTTCTTCTAGGGGCAGCCAGGTGAACAGAAGATGTTAGGAACTGGCCTGCAGTGTTTTTTCTGACAGAGGACCTGGAACCATAGTTTGGGAACCACTGGTCCTAGGGTTAAAAATAAAGCAATTTACTTCCCAAAGCTTCCTGTACAGGTGGTGAGTCAGGCCATCTTCCTGACCCGCTCTCTCACACACTTGCTGGCCTCATCCCACGGGATCACTTCAGGCTTAGAGGTAGCAAATGAAAATGACCCTGAAATTTGTAGATTGGTTTTATTTGGGGGGAATGACTCAGAAACCCATTTCTTGGCTCTTAGAGAGTGAAGTATTACATTTGAACTCTGTGTGTATGTGTATGTGTGTGTTTTACTCTTAGTAAGAAGACAATCTTTAGCTGTACTTCCCCCCCCCCCCCTTGGATCTGAGGACCAAATCCAGGGCCTTGTGCTTGCTAGGCAAGCATGCTACCACTGAGCTAAATCCCCAACTCCTAGCTGTACTTTCTTACCCAGGATGAGCGCCTTGTCTTGAGAAAAGAAACTGTCAGAAACAGGAAGCCGGCCCCAGCATGGGACTGACTTGGGACATTTGACTCAGAGAAATCCTGAATTGGCAGCCGTGTTCTTCTGTGGGATTCTTGAAAGATTTTCTTTTGTATTATAATATGTGTATTTGTGTGTGTGTGTGGGGGGGGTGGGGTATGTACAGAGGCATGTAGGTGCCCTCAGACCAGAAGAGAGTGTCCTGGGACTGAGTCACATTACAGCATTCATAAGACAGCCGATGCACGTGCTGGGAACTGAACTCGGGGCTTCTGCAAGCACATGCTCTTAGCTGAGAACCTCTTCAGGTCATGCTCTTAAAGTAATTGTTACTCTCGCATATTCCACCATTTATAAAGCCAAGAACCTAGAACTCCTAAAGAGGCAGGAAATTATGTGTGGAGCTCTTACCAGCTTAGTGTACAACAGAAGAGAGAACCAAATAAAAGCTCATCTGAATTAGAGCGTTTACCTAATAAAAACTCAAACATCTTTTCCTTCCAATACATTTTCCTTATTCTCCACTGTGAACTGAAAAAGACCCCTCATTCAGTCAGCAGATATTTCTCATGCATTATTGTATGTTGAGAGCTAACAAGTAAGAGGACATTTGTGTTACAAATGCCGTGGTGCCACTCCTGGGTCAGCCCTGCGTGTCCCTCGTCCAAGTGCCCATATGAGCTGAGAAGATGTAGGTGTGGGCCACCTGCTGTTAGTTCTTGAGGCAGGAACAGTTGAATCTTTGCAAGTTCAAGGCCAGCCAGGGCTACATAGAGACCCTGCCTCCAACAACAACAAAAATGTACACATTTGGTTTGAGACAAGCTGTTTCAAATCTTAGTGTTTATCTGTGAGGTGCCTACCTGTGAGGTGCTGTGAATGTTGGAAGTAAGTCCTGTGTTACCATTTCTACCACTCTGTGGTACAAGCTACACGAATTTACTGGGCAACTAAATGGATATTAACAACTATTATGTTTTTTACTTTTGAAAAGTTTTATTTGATTTACCAAAGCGTAAGTCTGACTCTTGTCAGAAATTTATTTCCTTTTTTACTTTTTAAAAAAATTATTTAATTTTTTTTCTTATTTTATATATCAATCCCAATTCCCTCTCCCTCCCATCCTCCAATGCCCTCCACAGACCCCTCATCCCCCATCCACTCCCCAGGAAGGGTGAGGCCTTCCATGAGGGATCATCAAAATCTGTCAAGTCATTTGGGGTAGGGCCTAGGCCCTCCCCCGTGTCTCTAGGCTCCTGAAGTTCATTTGTGTGTTAGGAATACATCCTGGTTCCACTGCCAGAGGTCCCAGACTGCCCAGGCCTCCTAACTGAGACCCTCTTCTGGGGGTCCAGGTCAGTTCTATGCTGGTTTCCCAGCCATCAGTCTGGGGTCCATGAGCTCCCCCTTAGATATTTCTTATTTCTTATAACTCATCTTTGTAAGGTGAAATCTTAACTTTTCATGACACTGGCAGTCTGAGTCATGAGAAATGAATCCTCCAAGCCCAAGTTCTGGTCCCTAGACCTACATAATAGAAGGAGAAAGCCAACTCCACAAAGTTATCTTCTGATCTCCACATGCACATGCTGGTGGCATACACATGTATATCACATGCACATGCATGCACACATGCACAGGCATACACACACAGGCAAACACGCTCATGTATACACACACCCACAGGCATACATGTGTGCACATGTATACACACAAACAGTCACGTACATGAGTACACACAAATAAATAAAATAATTAAAGCTCGTGCTTAACCTGTCTTCAGGTATTTGGAGTGTTCACAAGGCTTCCCGCTTGTTTTCACCCTCCCAGACTGAAGGACACCAGGTGTCTTTCTTCAACTGTAGGCCTCTCTGTAGGGTTCTAAAAGGCACTTTTAGAAAAACACACACCACATTTACCAACTTTCATGCAATTTTCTGTGTGTGCATGTGTGTGGTTAAAAGGTTTAGCTGAGATCTCAGGCTAGCTTATAAATGATCCCCTACCATTTCCTTATACGCATTCCAAATTTCTGTTTTATTTACCAGATGCCTGAGAAAGGAGACCGCCGCTTGAACCATGTCTGTGGCCTCTGAATCAGTCAGGGCTGCGTGCTTCGGTGGCCCTTTTCTCAGCAGTTAGCCTGCACTGTTTGTGGCAGGGATGAGACCAGGCTTGGAGAAGTTCCCGTGCTAGCCAGGCACCCCTGCCTAGAGGTGCAGGCCCTGAGGAAGGTCCCGATTGCACCCGAGAGCCCAGCCTTCACTCTAAGCTGCCTGTGGATCCTCTAGTTAGGCTCCTTATACTTCTCTTTTCCATATCCATCTCTCTCTCCCGCTTCTCTGCAGAAAGAATTAAATTCCCGAGAGGGAGCCTGGGAAAGAATATGTGGTGAGAGAGACCCTTTCATCTTGTGCAGTTTGATGTGGTCGTGGGTGGAGCAACTAAAAGAGCCTGTAATCACCAAAGAAGACGTGGACATGTTGGTTGATACAGAAGTGGATGCTGGTGAAGCCCTGTTTTTACTAGAGAAGGTGAAGTAGCTATTGGACAAGCTAATGAGCTAATGAGTTTAATTTAAGTCCCTCAGTATGTTTCACACACATGCCAAAAAAAAAAAAAAACAAAAAGAATGGAAATTTCATTTAGGTCTGTTTTAGTGGGTTTTCTTTTTCCCCCTAATTTTGTGTATATGGTCTCTGTATAGTTTGTGTACATGAGTGCAATGCTTGCTAAAACCACAAGAGGGCATCCGATTTCCCCAGAAGCTGAAGTTACAAGCCCTTTTGAACTACCTGGTGTGGGTTCTGGGAACTGAACTCAGGTCTTCTTCCAGAGCATCGCGTGCTCCTAAACACTGAGCCATCTCTCCAGTCCCTCAATTTAGTAGAAGAGAAATTGGGCCTGGAGATGTAGCTCGGTGGTGGAGGGCTAGCCTAGTGTGTGCAAGGCCCTGGGTGTGATCTGCAGCACTATAGACACAGAGAAATGGATGCACAACATAAGCATTTAGAAAATACAGAAATGTTGGTAAATACTGGCAACCCCAACACTCATGAGGTAGAGGTAGGATTACATATTGGAAGCCAACCTGGAATACATACTAGATTCAAGGACATCTTATAATATGCAGCAAGACTGTCTCAAAAGCAAGCTGGGGAAGTAGCTCCATGTAGGCTATTGCATAGCATGTACAAGAGCCCCACGATTGATGTCCACTCCCTAAAATGAAGATATCCATAGCCCCGGGAGACAGTGGTGACTACACTCTCAGAAATCATTTCTATAGTGTGAATCCTGGGAGAGTCGGAGTAAATCCTTCCAACCCTTGCTTCTTAACCTTTTCAGTATACATCTTAACATAGTAAATACCATTACATTTTAGATTTCATTTTGGCTTAAAAGTGTGGAATTTTGTTGGGTGTGGTAGTACACATCTTAATCCCAGTACTTGGGAGTCAAATCTCTCTGAGTCTGTGGACAGCCTGGTGCACATAGTGAGTTCTAGGCCAGCCAGGACTGCATAGTGAAACTCTATACTCCGCCCCCCCCAAACAAACCCAAACTGGCGTGAGTTTTTTCGTGAATGGATGAGCATGTCAGTGACTATGATGGGCTCATATTGCTCTTTCATGGCTTATGATATAATGAAACACCGTCTCTTCCTAGTACCTGTTTCTACTCACTGTGAACATTTTCACTAAAATGAAGGTTGGAATATACATGCCTTAGAACTTTTAGTGGGAGTGGATGTATCATAGGCACATGTATGTGTGCCTATGTCTGTATAGCTCACATTTTTATACAATAGAAAAGAATATTGGAGGCTGTAAACTGTTAGCCATCAGGAAAGGGTACTGTGGGTGTAGGAAGTGAGGGAAACCCCTCTTCGTTGCAGCGCCTATCACACAATTTAGGACTTCTAATCACATGAGGGTACAAACTTTGGAGTTCAAAATAGGCGTTGCTTTTGTGTGGGAGAACAACACCAGATGTAAGCATCTTGTTGCTCCCGAATCTTCACAAATCTGTGACTATGTCTGCCCACACAGACTTCTGTTACAGTATGTTCACAAACATGCATGCAGGAATAACCTCTCACACATGGATATCAGAGAGACATGTATTGTGTGGTGTATCTGTGTTTTCTTGTTCACATGTGTGGGCACATGTTTGTACATGCATATGAAGGCCTAATGTTGCAGTTCGATGTCTCCTTCCATGTGATTGTATTTGATGTATTTTGCTGGGCTGGTCAGCCAGCTTGTGCAAGGAATCCCACGTCTGCCTCCCTCGCTGTGTTTACAGTCCCATCATGCTCACCAAGCTTTTCACGTGGGTTCTAGAAATGTGAATGTCAGTCTTCAGGCTCACACACAGGCTCTGGACCTGCGCCATCTTCTCTGCCCAATAGACACCTTTTAAGGTGAGATTTTTTTCAGTGTCTAGAACTCTTTTCTTAAGGTATTTTCTCAGCCACTAAATTTCAAGAGATGAAGCAGGGGCTGATGGGAAGGAGATTGACCTTTTTGGGCAGCTGTGAAGAACTTGCCACTCTCACCTTGCCACGTCCATCTTGATAGTGCTTGGAGGTGAAGGGCCCCTTTTTTAGACAAGGCAAGGTAGAACAGCTTGCTGGAGGTTTCTGGCAGGTGATTAAGCAGGATTCAAACTTGGAACTTACTGGGCAAAGCTCATGCACTAAGTCATGCCAAGCTGTTTTCCCACAACCATCCCAACCCCTGTGTAAACAATTATGCGCACCAAGGACTTTTACTTTCATAAACACCTCTGTAATGATAATCTGTCTTCTCAGGCTTTTCAGATTATTCTCTTAGAATAGATTTCCAGAAGAAATGTTGGTGCTGGGTCTCAGTGAGTCACATCTGTGTATATTGTTCATGGTGATGGGTTTTCTTCCTTTGCTAGGGCAAATGGTCCCTAGCATTGCAGTCCAGTCCGTGGGCCCTTCTTACAATGTCTACCCTACTCACCTAGATCTACAGCTGCCTCCTTCCCTCTGTGTTTCTGCTGGGGGGGGCTCATCTTCCCACCTCCCCAAATAGTATCTGCAGTGAGCTGGGCATACAGTGTACTCAACTGCAGCATCCAGAAACAGCATCCAGAAAGGAAGGGTCGTTCTGTGCAATGCAGGAGAAGCATGTGGTTTAAAAATCATACCAATCCTCAGATTTATCTGATCAGACTTTGTGACAAAACAGCCAGCTCTGAGCCATCTCCTGAATGGTTTCCATCCTATATTAATGTACTAATGCTACAGCAAACACTTGGCTGAGTGCGTGATAAACAAGCCTCTGAAACTGAGCACTCAGTCATAGCCAGCAGCTCCCTCTATAATGATTTGAGTTGGTTTCTTGAGATATTTTCAATCAATTTTTTTGTATTTCTGAAAAAAACAACAGGGGCAGTACCAGACCATTCTCTGTGTGTTGCATTGTATAGTGAGCCTGCAGACCCTTCCTGTGGAGGTGGAGGAAGCTTGCCTTTCACATGCCATTAAAGCTTTCACCAAGGTGAGTTTCTGAGTCCTCACACCTGTCAGCCGTCTCTGTTAGTCAGGGGTTCTCAGGTAAAATTTCAAGCTCCTTCCCCTCAATGCCCATGAGTTTTATAAGAAGTCAGAGTTTCTCAACAGTGGTGTCAGGAAAAAGCTGACTTGTCAGGTTGTTGAAGGGTGGTGTGGGAACAGAAAGCAACAGCTAAGGATTCAGCAAGCATTTCAAGTCTTCATTCTTCATTGGAGGCAGGGGGATTTGCTTGTCCAGCCAGTTCCACCTTGTGTTTAAACAGGAATCATATAAGGAGGGTTAAACATCCAAAACTGTCAGGTCGGTACCCACAGAAACATGAAGTGAATGCTTGAGGAGAAATGCAGTTTATTTCTGACCTGTGAGCCTTGTGAATGCTACTCCCAAGACCCTGACAGACGGTAGAGCAGCATCCGGGATTCCTGGTGTGGCTGATGAAGGGGGCAGCCTTTCCCTCTTCAGAAGCTGTCTAAAAAGAAGCAGTTTGTGGCAGGGAGGAGCCTCACCCAGAATCCTGGTGCTTTCTCAGTAAAACACACCTTACTTTGGGGACAGTACAGGGCTGCTCCTGTTCCCTGTGCTGTCACCGTCACTCCTCAGCAGAGAGTCACAGGCATGGCAAAGGCCCCAAGTGTATCCAGGGCCTTCCCAGCAGAGAGGGGACCCTCAGTCTCTCTGAGGGTTTATGTGTACAAAACACTCAACAGGGCTCAGATTTTATTTAAACTCGCAGAAATCTTAAGGCGGTGGGTATTGGATTTTATATTTATATTCACATTAGAGGAAATTGAAGCCCACGGACCAGTGATTCTCAGCAGTGGGTCATAACCTCTTTGGGGGGTCACATATCAGATATTTACATTATGATTCATAATAGTGTCAAAATTACAGTTAGGAAATAGCAACGAAATAATGTTATTGTTGGGGTCCCCACATGAGGAACTGTATTAAAGGGTCTCAGCATTAGGAAGGTTGAGAACAGTCACCACAGACATTAGACAAAAGATGAAGATACATAACTACAGGTGGAAAGCTACGCTGTTCAGGCCTTCGGACTGCAGAGCAGAGTGGCCGGGGCTTCTGAACATCACACACACAGCCGGTGTGCTCCTTTGGAACAGAGGCGTCCCTTGCAACATCAGTGACTCTGATCTCACGCTCACTGCTGACTTCCTTGCTGCTAAGCTGTGTGTGTGTGTGTACAAAACTTGCAGCACTAGATTGAAGTTCAGAGTTTTCACTTTAAGGTTTGATATTGACGTGATTGATAGCTCTAACATAGTCTCCCAGTTAAAATGTATGAAGTCCATCATGTGTGTTTTAAAACTATATGCATTTCTTTATAAATCTTTGTTGTTTTTTTTCCAAATCCTTCTTTTCTTTGAGAACAGAAACTTGTTAAATAATTATATTACAGTGTCTTAAATAGATTTTTTTTTTGTCACCAGATTAGTTTTGATTCTGAAGATGGACCAATAGTTTACAACACCCTGAAGAAAATATTTAAGCACACATTGGAAGCAAAGAGAAAAATGGCAAGAGACAGCCCTAGGCCTGGCCTCTCCTGAAGCTTTCCTCTCTAGACGAGTATCCATCCCACATAAGGTAGCTTCTGTCCCCACGTGGATGTGGCATGCTGGCGCTGCCCCTCCTTGCCACCTCCATTGTCAACACTGCATCTCTTGTGCTGAGAATAATGGTTCCTTTTTGGAGTAGTTATTTATTTTAAAATATCTTTGGTCTGTGTCTTGAGAACTTGCCATAAAGTTGGTGCCACTTTATTTATTTATTGAATTAATATAGTTGTGTTGACATTTTATGTATATTTGTGTCCTTACTCTTTTTGACATTTTGGAGGGGAAAAAAAATAACCTTTCCAAAACAGTTATTTTCTTAACAGAACTCTCCCTGGAGTTTCTATCAAATAGATCATTTTAGTAGTAAAACCTTACTATGTATCCCCCCCCACAAGACATATATGTATCCCCTCCTTCAGAAATGCGACCTAAGAAAGTCACCAAGTGTCTTAAAGGGTTTTATATTTGTTACTAAGGAAACTATTAATACATTGTAAAGGACTTTTAAAAACTTTGAAGCTTTGTGGTTTTCTTTTCTTTTTCTTTTCTTTTATACAGAGGTGGCAAAGGCTTTCAGAGTGTATTATTTTTCAATGATCAATGATTCCACTTGTAGAAAGTAGCCTTGCTCTTGCCAGGCTTCCAGACAACCTCTCCCTTGGCTGTCTGAGCCGGGAGCAACGCTCAGCCCAGAAGCCTCCTTCCACTTCCCTAACCTGCTGCTGAGCCAGCTGGCTTCTTTACAGAGCAATGGGAACAGGCATGGCCAGTGAGGGCAGCTGCTAAGGAGCAGAACTGGCCTTTGTCCTCCCAGGGACTGTGCAGAAGGGACCGTGGTGCTGGAGAAGGCTCCTCGCCAGCCTGCTCTCTGGGGCTGTGGCCATTCTGCACAGGCAGCTCAGACCTGGAGCAAGTCAAGCACTGGCATCGCTGCCCCCCACCCCATCCCCCAATGTCCTTTCACAAGCCAGCTTGCCTTGGCCTCTGACACTAGCTGCTGTTTTGCTAAGAGGATTGTAATTTTTAAATTGATCACCTTTCAAATGAGAACAGATGACTGCTCAAACTTGGTCCTTTAGGTTAAACTATTAGTCAGCAATTGAAGCCTTAACTTATTTAAATGAAATTGATATAGGAGCAGCAGAACTCATGCCATAAAGAGACAAGGAGTTTCTTGATAGAGGAGATAGCCAGACCGATTCAAATTAAAGAACTTGCTTCTCAGAATGTTAGGAAAGAAGCAAGACTGAATTAGAACAACTGAAATTTCTCTAACTCATGCATTTCTGAATTACATTCTAGTATAGCAAAGACTATTTCAGTCACTAGTTTCCCCAACTCTGATGGCAAAGGCTAAGTGCAGCTTCCTCCACCCCACATTTTCTTCTTGGGAAATGAAATATAGTAATTGTTAACTAATTACCCCATGTTGAAATACCTTTTTAAGTGCCTAGCCTAGCAGCAGGAAATAGTTGCATTTTATCTCCTGTGCTATATTCTGAAATGTGATATTCAAAGAGACTGTTTGTCTTCATCTCTGTGTGCCTCGAATGGGCAAGTGATGCCTTGGGACTTCGCCACCCTCTGTCCTCAAAGCCAGCTGCGCCTGTGCATCTGGAGCACTTGTTTTAAGTTCTAGAACAGTCATGTCACCCCCACCACTGCATGTCAGAAAATCCAAGTACAGCAGCCTGGGAAGACACAATCAGGCTCTGTACAGGTGTTGTGTTTCTTTGAATAAAGGTGAAGAGAAAAACCGCTGGCCTGGTCTTGTTTCTCTGCTGTAATACTCCAGAGCATCGTGCACACTCCAGTGACATTGGTAAGGGCTTGCTCTTAACCGATTCAGTGGCTGAGTTGGCAATCCATGCTCACCTTCGCTTGGAGTGGCCATGTTGGAAAGTGGGTTCCAAGAGAAATGGTTTTTTAAAGAGCTCTAGGTGGACAAGAGTCTGCCCTTCCTGCTCTAAATGAAGAAAGAGTTCTTTGTAGTTGAAAGGATGAGATTTTCACATATGGGAGGAGTTCTAAGTTGCAAAGTCTGCCGAAGAAGAAACTGAGAGCAAGCATACCATACTGAGAACTCGCCGTGGACAGGCGCTGCCTCACCCCCCCTTAGCACCCTGAAAGCATGTAGTGTCCATTGATGATGGCACAGTCAGGCACACTCTGTGCCCACACTGCAGCCTACAAGCTCTTGACCAGGTGGACCCTCCCAGTCTAAAGTCCCCGGTGACACCAGAGCCCCCAGCGCTGTGTTCCATTAGAGTGCCTGCTGTTTTCCATAACAATGGTGATAGCAGATCTCTGGGGAAGGCTGAGCCAGCGCTAGCAGACCACACTCAAACCAAAGCAGGCACTTTCTTGCTGCTGTCAGTTTCCCTTACTTCTAGGACTTGCTAACTACCCTCTGCTCCTGCTGCAGAATTTGTTTATTTGTATAACTCAAACTCTATGTTGATTTACTTAGCCATATCTTAGCCAGCTTCCTTTCCCAGTTTTATGTGAATATGCTGTTGTTGCAGGCGTAGATATGAGTCTAGAGGGCAGATGCTGTAGTGTCCAGGATCTTGTGCTAGTTTTCAATGAACTGTCCAGATACACAGGTCGTTAGAGGAGACGAGAGGGTTTCTTGGGGAGACACAGAAGGGCCTGGAGGTGTGCCATGCCTCCCCCATGGCCTGTCTTCAAGAGGGGTAGAAGGCTGAGGAGGGCTGAGGTGATGTCCCAGTGACATTTTATGAGTCATTAACATGGAGCTCCAAATTCTATGATACGACGTGGAAGCAGTTTCATAAAGTTTTATCATTTTAAAGAACAAAGAAATTCATAAATCCAGGTATATTAGTGCTTGCGTGCGTGCGTGAGTAGGCTTGCTTATGCACATAAGTTCAGTATCTGAAGAGGCAAAGAGGCAAGAAGAGGTATTATATCCCCTGGAGCTGGGAGCTGGAGTTACAGGAGGTTGTGAGCCACTACATGGGTGCTAAAATCCAAACTCTGAAAGAGCAGTATACATTTTTAACTGTTGAGTCATCTCCCTAGGCCTGTAGCCTTTGATTTCTTGTGAGTTTTTCTTGTTTTCTCCTTTTCTTAAGACAGGGGTTGGGGAAATAGTGGTTAAAGCACTTGCCATATAAGCATGAGGGCCATAGTTCAAGTTCCCTAATATACTCATATATCAAATTCCCATATAAAGTCAGGCAGGCATGCAGGCCCACCTGTGTTTCCAGTGCTCAGAAAGGAGAGACAGGACCCATCCACATAAGCTAACTAGCCATGCTAGCTGTATCTGCTAGTTACTTCAGAGACCCTTCCTCAATCAGAGAAAGGAAAAAATTTAAAAAGCATCCAGGCTTTTGATTTCAGATTCATGTGGAGGGGCCTTTCTGTAGGGAAGCAATGATCAAATTGGCCATTCAATGTGGTTCAAGCTAATTTTATGTCCCTGTGGCTGGCAGGGGGTATCCCTGGGTTTTGGTGAGGTCTAGATTAGATGACGATTGTCCTAAACAGCATCCGACTTGTTCACAGTGTTTTCACAAATGCTAGTGACTAGTAGGAAACCTTGGTTCTTTGAGCAAGATGCATGCCTGCTCTGTGTTGTGCTCTTGCTAATAGCTTACATGGGAATTACTTAGTCCTGAGTCCCTATCCAAGCATCAAGGTGCTATGGTCCAAATGGGCCCCAGATTCATGTGTTGGGGATTAAATCCCCACTGCAGGAGTGCTGGGAGCTGAGCCTCAGGAGGGGAGGTGGTCGGGTCATGAGGTTCCATTCTCACAAACAGATCCTCATCACCACCAATCAGTCTAAAAGTCTGCTTCCTTTTCTCCTCTGTCATGTGAGTGTTCTCCCCCCAGCCCCAGGTTGAAATTGCCAAGGCACCATCTTGGTAGCAGAGGACAGCCCTCCCACACAGGGCCAGAACCTTCACTTGAATTCCCAGCCTGGACAGTGGTAATTGTTCACTACTTACCAAGAAAGTGTCACCACAGGAGTAAGGTGTTGCTATGACAAGCAAGTAAAAATGTCTAACGAGCTTGGGAGTTGGGTCCATGAGGACCTGTAATAGTTTCGATGTTGTGTGGCCATGACTAGGGCTGTAGCCCTCAACTCATTCCTAGTGGTCTCTGCACCAAAAACAGGCAATACTTGTCTCTTCACAATGTGCGAACTTACTGAATTAGCTCAACTCACAAGTGACACTGGTTTTGTTGGAAGCAATTTATAGAGCAGTCCCAGTTCCCCTTGAGAGCTGGGCATGGTTAAGCCTGGGTTCTTCTATTCTAAGTTTAATCACTAATATTAACTCTCAGATCACACATTACAAGATCATGCAATAAGTAGATATGCTATTAAAGAATTAAAGAGGCCATAGGTGTATATGAGAACCTTACTGGAAATTAGGGGAAAGGCCGTCCTTGCTACAAAGTGGCAAGGAGTTTAGCATCATGTTTGTTCTAGGAGTTTCTAGACGTCAGAACTTAGGGCTGAGGGACTAGTATTCTCAGCAGATTTCTTCTGTCAAAGAAATCTCCAAGCCCCAGTGTTCCGGGTGCTGCCTGGCTTCTCTGAGCTGCTTTTAGCAAAGCAAGAGAAGAAATTATTCACAACAGAATTTATAAGAGGGAGAGCACAGAGGTTCAAGCCAGGCAGCCTTAATAAGAAGCTCAATATGGCCAGAAGGAAGCCTTGCACTATTGATCCACATCCAGGGAGGATGTCCTAGAAGGTTTTAGAGATCTTCCACACTGCTGTGTTGTCTGGGGCCTGGGAAGGAATAATGGTTTTGAAAGGAACTGGATGCTCCAGCCTCTTACTCGCCTACTTCTCAACATCACTGATTACAGCTGCAGCAGTCCCCTTAAAAGCTTCCTCCCGGGTGGTGGCACTGTTAGGGGTGCTAGAGCATTTAGGAGGTGCGGCTTCATGGAAGGAAGTTAGGTCATTGGGGCCAGAGCTCTGGAAGCGATAATCGGGACTCAGGACCGCCTCTGCTTCCTCAGGTTTCTATCCGCATCCTGTTGACAAGGTGAACAGATCCCCCACCCCCACCCGGGGACTGTGCTGCAACAGACCCAGCGAATGGGGCCGAGCCCCCGCAGATGGAACCTTTGAACTGTCGCTGTTGGGTCCATAAATCCTTGTTTCTGTCAGATATTTTTTTTTTCCCAGCAATGGAATGCTGACAGCAGCGTTACTTTAAAAATTCCCAAGTATCTTATTTAAGAAAAGACAGCTGGATTCTCATAGCTAGCTGACTTTTCATGCAATCTGTTACAGTGTCACATGGCACGCTACATCTGGAAAGTTCCACAGTACATTCATGAGAACGAAAAGTGCATACAGTATCTTAGTATTCTGAAAAGAGTTTTACCTTCACAGATAACCTTGAAGGAGTCTGAAGTCCTAGATATGGAGCTTGGGAGATAGCTCAGTTTATTGCTTGATCTGCAAGGCCTGAGTTCATTTTCTGAACCTATGTCAAAAGGCTAGGCATGGTAGTGGTGTGTG